TTTCTGTGCATCCAAATAAGTTGGGTCCGTCTTCTCTCGCGTACCTGTGCACGCCGCTTCAAAATTAGAACGAAACAATAGAACCACGCGCGTGTTATCCATTTTTCGTTCGTAAATAGCGGCTTGCCAAAGGTCACCGACTGATGGCGCCCCTTAGCCCGTGCTAACGACAAGCCCTCCCTGTGCGTGGACGCAATTGGGTCTAGCCGAAATGCAAATAGGCTAGATAAGCCTAAATCAGCTTAAATCTTAGCCCGTACTTCGTGTAACGTGAACACAACTATTATGGGGCCTTGATGTCATTTTGTTTTTCAGAGGGCTGACTCGTTTCCTTTTTGTTTTGTTTTAATTAATGCTGTTCCAGAGCATTACCTCTCAATATTAACAAGTACTCGTTTTACGATCAGATACAAGATGACTGTAAGTCAATCATTTTAAACTTTTTACCTCCAGTTCCCTCTTTTCATCACAAATTCACTGAATAGTTTGTTTACAGTCTGCACTTTCACTTCTAAAGATAGGTCAAAAGCAGCCAAAACTGATAATTGACTGGAATTTTTTTGGTAGTTTTATATGGAATTTATTTTCCCTGATATATGCTGAAACATGTGTATGACAAGTTGAATGTAAAATATAGGGAGAAAAAAGAATATAGTAAAAAATAAATTTCAAGCTTTTCAATTTCAAGTAGAGTATTTTACAATAGATCGGTAGCATATAAAAACCCAGTCTCCTCTCTCTTTGATATCTTCTGATGGCCTGTAGCTGATATTCAAGTAACTACGGATAATCTATGCACGTACACACCACTCTCTGTATGTTGAACATTCCTTGATTTTTAAGCCAGTCGTTCTAACTTGGGCAATAGTTAATCTGAGGCATGTGTTGCTTTGTTGAAGCACTGCTGACATGACCTTGGCCCTATCTGGCACACTGGGTATACCACTATAAACCTACAAACTTTTTAAAACCAAAATAGAACAAGAAAACTACTTAACAATTATGAAAAACAGTGAACTTCGCAAATCCTTAACAAAATTTAGACTTGGCAACCACTGTCTGAAAATTGAAACAGGCCGGCATACAGGATTGGATTTTAAAGACAGAGTCTGCAATATGTGCGACAATGACCATGTTGAAGATGAACAACATTTTGTCACAAATTGTCCTCATTACAATGAAATAAGATCAAAACTTTACATTGTAGCTAATAAACGTATACCAAATTTTGACAAATTTAGTAATGAAAATAAATTCATATCATTACTAAGTGACGAGAAAATGTCAATTCCTTTAGCGCAATATTTAAAAAACTGTTTTAATACAAGACAGCAGCACCTACATAAACTAAGCCAGTAATACATTCCTTGTATTCAACTTATTATCTTTTTTTTTTTTTTATGCCTTTTTGTTCCCTTACTCTTTATGTGGTTATTTTTCTTTTACTAATATCTGATTTGTAACCCTTTTCATCCCCTCCGAGGGATGTTGTGTGTTAATAAATAAATAAATAAATAAATAGTCTGTACAGTCTACTAAAGTGTGCCCTGGTTTTCCACTCCACCTCCGCAATTGAATCCACAGCAACAGATATGCTGTTGTCGGTGCAGAATGGAATCGTACAATGCTGATTGGGGCATTGATAATACTCCTCGCATGTATTGGTGCATGTTTTTCTCATGTTTTGTTTACTTTTATGGTCAGTTGACCCATTTTGACATTTTCATATCTACAGTACAAAAACACACATTTCTTTGATTAATGTTACGTTTCAAATGTAGTCAGAGATATTGACTGTTGTAATCTTTGGTTGCGTCTATGTTGAGCAGTCGCTATTCTGTGTCTGGGCTGTGACATCCTGCTTCTAATTGATTTGGCCTTCAGTTATATGGAAGCAGAATGCAAGCCTTCTAGGCCTATCCATTGTATTGGTGCCAGTTATTCGGTACCATGGTAGAACTTCGTAATGCCCCTGCGTTACCTTTGTAATGGAATTGCTGAGATACAGAGAGAGCCGTCTGTCTTGAGTTCAAATAAAAATCAAATCAATTGAGCATCCTCAATAACTGTGTTAATTTAGTCCCAACATAAATTTGAGAATGGACGTGTTAGTAGATATAATAGGATTTTTAGGTTGAATGTTGAAAAAATGAAAGTTATGGTTTGTTGCAAGCAGAAAAGTATGTAGTTTAATTTTAAAGCATTTGGCCTTCAGGTCTCTTCTGCAGTACAGCCTCTTTCTAACTACTCATGAATACCTTGGATGCCAGGGTAATTGTATCGTGAATACTTCAATCTTGATAACCACATTGGCTTTAACTAGAATACTAATTTACATTCTGCTTTGAATTTTTTAGTTTTATAGAAATTTCTGGGTTTTTTTCAAGGAGATTTTAGCACTTTCATGTGAAACTTTTATAGCTTGTGAAAAATCAGGGCTAATGTATATCACATTAGATTTGTGGTGCTTATTGTAGATACAATATCAAGGATGGTATTTCTTTTGAATTTTTATATATAAAAATTTTTATGTATATAGTAACCACCAAATTAATTTTTTAGAATTTTTGTTTTGACCGATCACTAGCTCATACATTTGATATAATTGTCCATAAATATTGAGTTGTTCCTGTTGAGTTGATCAAAATAAAATAAGTTTGACTTAAGACATTTTTTTTATAAACTAATTTTATATGCTGATTTTATTTTGGTCTCTACATGTAAACTAAAGCGAATCTGCAATTGCTGAAAGGGTGGTCACATATAAACAGGTTGCTGACTGTACTTACTGGTAATGTATGTCCACATTAATAAGAAAGCTATGGTCAAAATAAGTCACATTATAATAATCCAGTATACATTATGTACAGCAATTGCAATTTTTCCTGTTGTGCTCTTGTATTGGAGATGAGCTTCTACTAGAACTAGTATGATATGCTCAGTTTGGCCATAAACAATAGGTGTGTAGCCATGTTGATTTCCATGCAGGTCTGGACTGGATAATTAATGTTGTTAAAGTTAAATGCTGTATGATATATAGAAAGCTCTAACCATACAATTTTCATAATGTCGAAGTTGCCATCTGCCAGATTCGATTCTGTTAAAATGTGTGCTATCATCTTGTGTTATTTTGTTGGTTTATACTGTGTAAAATTGAACTTTCATTGTAGTTGTTTTCCCCCTCTGGGTTGGAATTTCTGAGAACTGATGGGTACTATATGTCATGTGCTGTCTTACACGTTCACCAAAAAGCAGTATTCACAACTAACAAGCAGTATTCGTAACTAACAAACACTGAATTTTTTATTGAAATCAGACATTTTCTCGGAGGATTACACTCAACTTGTTGCCATTGGTGATAACCAGAACATTTTTTGACTCCCGTGTGCAAAGCACAAAAGGGAGTCTTTGCAGTTACCCTGTCTGTATGTCTGTATGTCTGTCTGTATGTATGTATGTATGTATGTCACTTTTTTTGTTCCACCGTTATCTCAAGAACCACTAATCAAATTTTGGTGAAACTTGGTACATAGATGTTCTGGGATAATGCAGAGTTGATTAGTTTTTGGTAAAAATCTATGAATATTAAATACCTAATTTGCATGATAATTAACTGATTTTAAGCTGTTCCATGACTGTTCACTGATATTTGAAGAACCACTCATTGGATTTTGATGAAACTTGGCACATGGATGTTCTGATCTAATGCGCAGATTTCATGAGTTTGGGGTAAAAATCTGTTTATATTAATTACCTAATTTGCATAATGATTAATCAATTTTCGGCTTTTCCACTGATATCTCAAGTACTAATCATAACATTTCAATAAAACTTGGTACATAGATGTCATATGAGACTGCACAGACTTGATAGTTTTTAGGGTAATATCAGTACATATTAATTAGCTAAATTGCATAATTAATTAATTTTCAGCTTAATTTTTAATGTGTCTCCAATACTCTCAGCACACGGGAGTTCTTTCTAAGCTTCTTTGATTATTTTTTATTTTAATTTTTCCGGAGGGGCAGAAATGAGAAACAATTTTTTCCTGGCCTTGTTAAAGTATTGAAGTGACAACTTCTTTTTCATCTTTGCACATGTGTATCTGATTGTCAAAACTATTTTCTATCATTACAGATTTGTTTAAAGCTTCATTCATTCAAAATTTATTTAGAAAAATTCATTAATTTTATTATTTAAAAGGTACATGCAATTATCCCATCTGGGTCTGAGCTCTTACATTTAGGTCACACAATCTTATTTCAGGTTCATTTGAAACATGCATGTTGACTAATGTTGTTGCTTTTGTTTTTGGTTCATATCATAATTAAATATACTTTATTCATGTGCCTCATTCATATTTATGTCAACGCAAGAATATTTATTCGTAGTTTATTTTTTTCGCGTTCATACATGCTCGGTATGTCAATCTAAGCGTGGGTCAGTCCATAACTTTACTTCATGGCGTTTAGAACGATACAATCCAGATTGTCATTCACATGCCGATTATTTTATCAATATAAGCACAGGTCATCCCACACCATCACTGGATGGGGCTTAGAGCAAAATAATAATCTGAATTTTGTTCATATCCTGTTTTTTCATTATAAACGAAAGGGCACCCCAAACCATCACTGGTTACTTCACTAGACAGCGCTTAGAACAAAACAATCGTTCACATGTCATTTGTTGTATCAATCTAACACCATGTTTCTAAACTGTTATAGATTGATACATGCATTTTTTTT